TCTGCTTTAGCTGAAAATTCAACCTCTACAGAACTTCAGTGCCACAGAGCTGATTACCTTCACTGGAAAGAAAAGGCATTTTATATCTCTCAGTCAGATCTTCACACCAAATATTAAGCCTGCACATTAGCACTTGCAATTCAAAACCCTACTCTTCAGTCTCTCATAGCAGCAAAGGTCTTCAAAATAGAAAGAACTATGGTAGAAACATCTTCAGAAACCAAAATACAGAGAATTTTAAAAGGGTTTGGTAAGTCTTCACCTTACCACTACAATAACATCACTTCATTGGGACCTTTTATTGTATGTGTCACACCTGATGATGAATCCTTTGAAATCAAAACATGATATTTTGTGCTACCCTCTTCAAACCAGTACTTTCGGTAGCATACAAACAACATCTGAGGCGTCACTGCCTTATGTCTTTCTGAGTGTTATGTGGTACATCATCCACAGTGCCAATAAACAGTTACTGAAACTGTAACTGCTGTTCTTGAAAACGTGTCATGCACACACAGCTTGTTAAGACTTTCCCTCAGAATCACGTCTGGGTTGGGATTCTTGAAGTGAAAGGAACTAAGTGAGGTTGACATGTTCTGCTCTTTACACCATCAAAGAGAATGACTACACTTACAGGAATGTGAATACTGCCAGTACAATCCTTTCTGGTAACAGTTCTAATACGACAGACACAAATGTTATATACATTTATGTGCAAATATATGATAAATTATCCCTTGAGATACTAAAAGGCACTGCAGTGTTACTAAGAACTTCAGTCTCTCAAAGTGCTGAAATATTTGTGTCAGTTGATCATTTATGCAATAAAACTACTGTAATGGAAATTGCTATAAAAAGTAAGTATCTATCTCAGAAAGCTAAGTTGGGAAAATATCTGCAAAAATAATCAATTGACAAGATCTGTTGAGATAATAAGAGGGGAAATGAGCTTTAATATGGATAAAGAACTTATTTGTAAATTTATTTTTGAATGACCCTGTACTATGATATTGGTACATAGTAGTGCTTCCTTTAGGTGACAACTACTAGAAAATAAAGTTTTGTTTTAAAAGCATTTTTTTTTCTGGATATACTCAAAGTAAATTGAAGTTTTTCAGAACAGGTTTGAAAATGCTTAATATTTTATAATTTCAGCACTTAATTTGAAAAACAGTAAATGGGCCTTTTAAACTGTATACTAAGAAAAGAAATAAAAATTATGAATCAACTTTCCATAATATTAATGAAGTGGTTTTCTGAAATGAGGCTTACACTTCTTTTAGAATATTCCTGTATTGTTTAGCTGAAACTGAGAGGACCACTTTTGCTCAGATTTTCTTCTAGTAAGGAATTTCTTCTAAATTCCTTCAGATTTTCTTCTATCTTTTGTAAAGATACCTCAAAGACAAATTGTATTTTTTATATATATATATATATTTACTTATATATATATATATATATATATATATAGAGAGAGAGAGAGAGAGAGAGAGAGAGAGAGAGAGAGAGAGAGGGAGAGGTTTGGTTTTCCATATGGTTCCTCTTTGTGACTTCAGCCTTTAGTAGAAATCCAGCTGGAATAATTATTTGAGGTTCTGCATATACAAAAATCACTTTCATAATTCTGATTTCTGCTCTAAGGATGCTCTGTATTACATGAAGAAAAGGATGACCATCCTCTTTCTTGTTATAGTAATAAATACTGATCTAAAGAAACCTGGGAAAGCCCAGGCAATAACCAGCCAGTATGCACTCTGCTACCATTTCACTCAGATTAAAGAAGGTATGCTTCAATTGTTATGGGATTGTGTATCTCATTAATTCAGGAACCCCATTTCTACGATATTATTGTAGTTGAACATTCTCAAGGTGACCCAAACAGTGAATAAATGACTGCATAAATTGCATTGTGAATTGTAGACACTTGTTTCATATTCACCAGTTATTAAGTTTCCCTGATAGATATTTAGATGGAGGTGATGAAACACGAAAAAATATATCAGTTGTGAGATCAGAATGCAAAAGATGTAAACCATAAACCCAGATGAATCAGCTTTGGAAGTTCTGCTGATTTGTCCACTCGCATTGCACAAAAATTCTCTCATTGTCCTTGGCCATGAATCATTCAGTTCTCTTATTACCTCCCAAAATTTCCAAACACCATCTCCAAACACGCTGCAGAGAAATTAACAGGAAAGTGGCATTTCATGCCACCCACCTATCAAAATAATTTAGTCTCTGGATAAAATCAGATAAAAGGAAACATCCAGAAATGTTTTGAGTATAGAACTGAGATGGCCATTGGAAAGGTAAGTGCAAAAACAAGAGAAAGGAGATCGATACTATAAAATTTATTCCGAAAAAATTTAATCAGTAATTCTTTATTTACCTAATCATTTGAGATTTTGGACTATCAGAATAAAACATTATTAATATAACAATCATTTTTTTATTCCACATATAATTATATCTCTTTCCATTAGCTTCCTTTGTGTAAAACTCTCCCTGAACAAATATCATGCTATGATACTCTTCATTTTATATGTGTTTTTTATCCTTTTCTCAAACTTGTCACAAAATTACTACTGGACAGTTTTATATACTGTTTAATTTAAAATTTGCTCTTGCAAATTAACAACTCTTTTATTCTAAGCAGAACAAACTAGATGAAAGGGCTGTCTTAACAGCTCATCAAGTTTCTTCTCAGTGCTGTACTCTTAATCCATCATCTTACTTATCTTTACTTATCACTTCACTTTTGCAAACACTTATTTTCTCTCAGCCAAAGCAGTTCAATGTTTATCAACAGCTTTTCTAATGCAGGTGAGTTGGTCTAAAAAATGTTAACCCTTTCCTCTCTAAAGAGTTTTCCTTCAATTATTTATGATTGGAAGAAAAAAAAATTAAGTAACACCACTCCCTCTTCATGATTTGAAATCATAAATATTCAAAAATAATACAATAGGAAAAAAGTAATCAGCATGCTTCTGAAGGTCCTTAAATATTAAGTTCTGGGTGCCCTGGAAAGCTATTTATTTCCTAGAACTGTTGTAAGCAATATGTTTTCGATTCAATAATGAACTGTTTTGATACAGTGACCCTTCTTATTTTGTGGGCACGGTAAATTTTCATAAGCTATCAGCCTGACTCAGACTGAGGACTTGACCTACTTGCTTCAGAACACTTGGGAGTCATGACTTTACACTTGAGAACTGGATTAAATAAATATAGGGACTATTTACAAGACTCTCAACATGCTTTGGAAATAGCTGCATTATTTATATGCTAATATTACAGACTCAAGGCAACAAATAAAAAATGGCTTACTCATCCACAAGCCTGCACTCTTAAATTTTTCCTTAGTGTTTAAATTTCAAAAGTTTTAATAAGCATTTCCTGTCACAAATCCTCCAGTGTCCTTAATTCTTCCAAGAAATGTTTTATAATATAATGTTCCCATACACCAATACATGCTGGAGCCCAGCTGGCTGGATAGCAGTTTTGCAGGATGACCTTGGGGGTCTTTTGAGCAGCAAGCTGACCAGGAGCCAGAAACGCGCCCTTGCAGCAAAGGTCATCAGCACCCTGGGCTCCAATTGCAAGAGATCACCTGGAGATCAAGAGAGATGATCATTCCTCTCTCCTCTGCCTCAGTGAGATACATCTGTCCTCTTGTGTCAAGGTCTGGGCTCCCCATGTGAAGAGAGATACAGAACTACTGGAAGGGAGTCCAGGAAATAGCCAGCGAGCTGAGTAGGGAATTAGGGCATTTTTCATATGAGGAGATGCTGAGACAGGTGAGATTGTTCAGCCGGCAGAAGAGAAGGCTCAGCACAGACCTTATTAATGTATATAAAAACTTGTTGGGAAGAAGTGAGGGAGACAGGCCCAGTTTCTTTTCAGTGGTGCTCAGTGACATGAGAAAAGGCACAATGTGATACACAAGAAATTCCCTTTAAATATAGGAACAAATCTTTTATTGAGTGGATGGTCAAACAGTTGAATAGTTTGTCTGGCGAGATTGTGGAGTCTCTACCTTTGGAGCTATTTAAAATCTGACAGGACATAGACATGAGGAAAATCAAGCTTGCCCTGCTTTGAGCATGGGGTTTGGACTAGTTGATTTCCAAACATGCCTTACAATCTTAGATGCTCTGTGACTCAATGATTTTCAGTCAGTATTTCACTGTGGTATTTTGCAAGTTCAAAACCATGTAAATACTGAAAATCTGCTTTATAGAAAATTGAATTTCTTTGTTTAGAACCTACCATTAGTGCTAAGTTGTACCCATTACTGCTGACACTAGATTTCATTTTTAAGAAAATTACCACTTTGAATTAACATCCGGTACCTGTTTGAATGTTATTGTGGCATTATGCATTATATATTTTTCAGTAAATTACTTGGGAAACCCTAAACATCAAGAGAAAATGATTTAAAGTACACTTCCAGTGTTATTTATGTATACCTCTACTAAGCTACACAGTCACATGTACCAGTCTGCTGTCTTCTATTGCCATTCACTTCCTAACCACGTGATTTCTATCATATGGTTTGCAAATGAATTGCAGTTAATTGATTTTCAGGGAGAGGTAAAGAGCAAGAATATTTTTTTTCTTCAAAATAGGTTGTATTCAACCTCAAAGATGAGCATAGAAAAAGTATCCAATATCTTGTATAAAACATGAAATATTCACAGACAGAGCTGGAAAATTATTTTATAATGATTTATATACTATTATGTTTTGATAATGAAGACATACTGAGTGGGCTGCTGGAAGGTATGATGTCCTTAAACAAACAAATCTGTCAAAAATATTTTTATTTGTTTCCTTCAAGTATTTCTCAGTAGCTCTAACTAGCAACACTTAGTGATTCTTGTAGGAGAACCAGTATATTGGAAATCTGCTTCTTACAAATTAGAATAAAACATAGAATGTAGGACTGTGGAAAGAAAGAACACTTGAAAATTATACAGAAAATCTTATGAGAAACCTACCTTGCCTACATACTGATAATCAGATCCTGTGTATTCTTCTAAAAGAAAAAACTGATTCCACATCCAGCCTCGCTTCTGGCGGTGAATTGCTTTCCCATCATTCCCTAAAGCACGTCCTCCAAAGCTTTTGGGTCTGAGATCAGGAGTCCTTCTGAAGAGCATTTCTGTATGGCAGGGATGTGGCAGCCACATCCAGAGCAGCAGAAGTAATAGGACTTGCTGTATTGTCATAGTGCTCCACTGCTGATGCTCTTCAAGCCAGTCGCCAGTGGAGTGTAAAGTTTTGTTTTTCTTAGCTTGTTTTTTACGTATCTAGTTTCTGTTGCAGCCAAGCAGTTTCCAGCAGCTCATCTCTGAACTGTATACAGTAACCAAATCCTGAAAGTAAACAGAGAAGAGACAATGCAAGTTGAAATACATTCACTCCTTACTGTCCAACATCACTGCTACTGTACCCTTCATATACAAAACATGATGACATAGAAAGCAATCTTGTCAGAAATAGAAAGGTTATCCATATAGGGGGAACACTGAATGTATCAGGTAGGTGCTGTAAGAATACTTCCTTAAAAAAAGGAATAGTGTCATTTAAAAGAAAATGTTCAATTTAGAAACTTTTAAGTGTTCTTTATTTAGACTGTTGGATAAATATTGCTGAAACTTACACATTAAATACTGATGCCTTTGCTTCAAATGTTTTCCACCCAATTTCATTTACAAGAATTTCAGTGTTTATTAATCTTAGTATCAAGAGACATGAAACTCTAACACAAAGTAGTTTTAGAAATTACAAACAGTAAAACACCATTTCTCCAGGGTATTTTAAATGGTAAAAGGAAATATCATATGCATCAGAAGAACTACAACATGATACGAAGCAAACTTTTAAACAGAAAAAGTTCTTGAGATGGTCTTGCAATATGGAGTGATGTGAGCTTAGCCCTTAAAATATAGGAAACATTTTTAAAAATATGTCAAGCTGTTTTCCAAGTATCCTGAAATACTGAATTTAATCTCATTGTGGGAAATTATATTGCAGAGACAGGGCAAGCCTCTCCCAAATCACTCTTTTTTTTTTGTCCACTTTTGTTTTTTCACTTTGCTTCATTTTATTTCTTCCTTCATCTAACAGAACCATGATATGTTATTTCAGCAAGAGAAATTCAGTCAAGTCCTCTTCACTTTACTTCTATACAAGCATTTAAAGAATAACATTTTTTGTTAGTGAGATCATTTGGTAATGGTTTCTTCCAGTAAATAATAAAACCCTTTGATTTGTCATCTTAATAGAGTGTAGCTTCTGCAAACTTTAATCAGGGTGGTTTTGCTATTCTTCCTAGTATACCCATTAAAAACAATGGTGTTTGTTGCATTTCCTGGAATATTCTTCCACATGTGGCAAAAAACTCAAGTAGTTATAAGCTTAGGATTTTTTTTCTCCTCTTTGCTGATTTTAATAGGTAAGTAATGTGCTGTTCTTTCAATAACTTTACACTGTATTTCACTATCATTGTAAATATTTTTATTTTTCAAAGAAGAGCTATGTAAAGAATTCAGAAATTCTTCCTGTATTTCAATTTGATATTGATACGTTACTCAAGTAACTGTCCCAGTAAGCCTGTGTTGATTAAGAGATTATAATAAAATTTCAGGATTTTTAAAGTGGGTACACTATGAAATATAGTGACATAGTTTAAAAACTGTGTGTCTGTGGGCAGGCATGTTAATAAATGAACAGATATTTTTCAGGAACCAGTTATTGTCTTCAAGTTATATTCACTCAGGAGAACATTTTCCCCTCTCACCCAGCATTTGGAAGTTCAAACAACTTCTCAAAGCCACTGCTATTAAGGATTTTGGCCCCAGCCCTGTTCTCAGTAACTCACAGACACCCATTTCCATTGGTCTAAACAAACACCAAGTTATGTATCATTTCATTTACCCGTTTTCCTTTTCTCCTAACATCTTGACATTTACCTCATTTGTGAACTTTGCTTAATACACAGAACAATCTGTTCTAATATAAGCTACTAATGATGAATATGCTACAAATTCTGAATTATATCAGTGTGTACAAACTGAAGATATGGTCCTCCACCTTGGAAATTATTTATCACAACTCATAGTTTCTTTTAAGAAAAAGGTATAATGAGTGAGAGAAGAGGACAAAGATTTATTCTATGATAATGAGAAATATGTCTTCTCAAAGACCGTAAGAAAGTCAAAGTTGAAATTCTCTGGCTCAATTTCCCTAAAATTTTGAAAACAATTTCCCTAAAATTTTCAAAACTATTGGGTTTTTCTCAAAAGGGTATATAGAATTTTCTTCTTTCAGTCTCTTTTTTTGTGTGTATGTGTGTGTGTGTGAGAGTGTGTTTCCTTTCTTTTTTCCCCTTTTTTCACTTTCTTGTTGCCCTCAGTATATATATTCCATTATCCACACATTATTATTTGATGTAGAAGTGTTGTTAAATGCCTCTTGGGAAATAATGCTTCAATATTAGGGGTTGTTATTGAATTTCCTTCTTGTTAAATTAGGTCAGAAGAATGAAAGCTCAGATGAAATTTGTTAAACTCACAAAAGTAGCTAATGTACTTGGCAAGCACAGCTGCTTAATGGATGTACATACCAGCAAGGACTTTTCTCTCCTTTGAGAGTCCTGTTGGAGTTCAGTTTCCTGCTTTAAATGTGATGAGTTTGATAGTAGTCTACTCTAAAGTAATAATATTTACCTTTTAAAATGAGCTAGCAGAAAAAGAAAAAACAGACTAAACTAATAAAAAGCATTGTATAAAGGGAAAATTTGAACACAATTAGATGAAGGAAACCTTTTAATCCATAACTACAGAAAATAAACAGAAATCTGTGTTCTGTATTAGATTGCATATCTGGATTCTGTGCTGGAAGAGTGAATGGAGGAAGAAACATTTTTCATTTTGCTTTTTTGGTGATTTTCGTCATTGTTTGTTGTTTGTGTGGTTGTTTTTTGTTTCTTTTTAGTTCCCTGGAAATCAAGTTGGAAAACTGTCAAACTTTTGACAAAAAAATTATCTTAGGGGAGGGTTTGAGAACTCAGAAGAGTTTAAATAGCTATGCTGGCTTAAAGAATTTATTTTAAAAATGATTTAAAGAGTTTAAAATAGCTTTAAATAATTTTAAATTAAACTGTTTGGCCGATCTTTCTCATCAAATCTCTCTCTACCTCTTTTTCCAGATCACTTCTTGAATTTTTGTCACAATAGAAAAGAAACAAAGGAAAAAAATTAAAGCTTTTTAAATTCTATCAGGTGTGTCCAACTTCTGTGTAATATCCTCCTGTGTAACACCCATATTTTTGTGTTATATCCTTTTAAATTACATTAAAATTACTACAGAAGAACATGGTTCCCAACTGTGCTCTTGTTTATACAGGTTTATGCATTTGTATTATTTCTAATGAGTTTTCTTGGAACAATTTCTAGTATGCAAGACATGGATCAATCATCACTGAAGCTGCTAAATCACCATTAGCTTTCAGGTAACAGTTTTAAAACCATTAGGCAGTACTTTCCACAGGTTGGTCACTTCTCATATCTCTCAGAAGAAAATGTTTTAATGCTGCTCAAAATGTATTCATGTGATTTCCAACTCCTACAAAATTTGAAAAACACTATATATTGCTTCTCATTCATGCAACCCCTCCCTCCAATACTAAAACAAACTTCATGCCATTTTAAAACTTGTAAGATTTAACATCTGCATAAGATGGGCTGTGAATGCTTTTAACTGATGCATGTGTCAAAGTTCCACTTACTGGTTTAGAAGATGGAACTTTTACACCAGGGATTTTATTTCTACATTAAATTATGCCCTCCTTTTGTCTATTTTTTGGCATTCATATATAGTTGCTTTTGGAATGCAGCAGAATCAAATTTAAAATAGAAAATTTAATACAGATCAAAAGACTTCGTTTAATTTTTTTCTAATAAAGAAATTTTAGTAAATTTCTCTTGTGAGGAGCAAATTTGAACAACAAAAAATTTACTTGGGATGCCTACCATTTAAGAATTTTGTTCTGTAGTTGACCTTGGTCAAACTTGACCTGAGTTTTAATTATGTGACATTTCAAAAAGCTTGTTTAAGGAAAGATATTTATGCAATGCCCATCCTATTTTCTCAATTCCTCTTTCACATGGGAGCCATTTGCAGCTCTAATCTTGTCTTTCCATCCTTTTTGCTATGTTTGTACAAAATAAAGAAATTTTTGGAACAAAGATGCTTTCTGAAAATTAGATTAAACTGTGTTGGAATCTCATGAGGAAAATAATATTTAATTTTATTATACTGGAAGGAAGCAGAGCATATTTTGTTCTTGTTTTGTTCTTGCTCTGCAGAGCTGATGCCAATAGTGCCATTCTTATATACAGCCACTGTGAGAAACTTTTCTTACTTTCTGTCTTCTCCAAATTTTTGGACCCTCTGCAGCCACTGGTAGAGAGCCACCACCATAGTCTGCAGACTTTCTTATCATAGTTCCTCCAGCCTTCAGTCTACTGCCAAAGTTCCTGTGGCCATCAGCCATGAGCCATAATTCCTACCATTTTGGTTCTTCCCTGAATTAGGCAACTTGCTGAGGTGCCTCTATTTCATTGGAACTCTGATTCCTGGCTTATGGTATCAGAAATTAAATGGAAACCTCTGGCTAGGATTTGAAGTAATAGGGACTATTTAACAAGACAGTAAAAGTAGAAGTAGCACGACAGCTAAGTGCGGAAAAAGCTGCATTTTCACTGAGCCTCAGAAGAGCGAGATAATTTAGTTGTGTCTATTTATTTGCCATCTCTATCAAAATCAGAAATTCTTATGCTTTAGAGCATAATGCAATGAAGCAAGGACTTTAAATAGACAGCTTTGCAAGAGCCTGCAACTCAAAACATAGCAAACCTTTCTCTCTGTATGTGTAATTTATTGGTGTAAGATATCCCTTAAGGTAAAAGAAGACAATACATTTTTATATAGAATTTTAAGAATATTTGAAACAGACAAATTAAGTCTGTCAAATGTTCAATTTGTAATGGATTCTAATATCATCATTCCTTGTGTTACTGATTTATGTTTATTCCTTTATGTATTATATTCCAATGAAGACAACTGAAGTCATTCATAATTTAATTGCTTGATTGTGAACTAAGAAGATAATTGGTAAATTGCCAATAAGCTGCTTATTTCATAGCTTGTAGCAGAACCCTTGCACACCAGTGACCACACTTCAAGTTATTATATTATAACAGGAATTTGCAAAGTAGTCAGTTATACCTTTGAACCTTATAATTCAGTCTTTATGAAGTCCTGCAACCATTAATCTGCTTAGGAATTTGAGTTGAATATACATAGTTCA